AGATTCTCTATCATATGGGCTTTTAAAATCCTTTCTTGTTGTTTTTTTTAATGTACCTGTGATTCTTTTTTGAGATAGAATTTTTTTTTTTTCCTTGGGGGAGAGGAAAAAAGATTCACTGTTTGTTAGAAGAACTTCCTCTTCCAGATAAATCCATGGAAACACAAATGTGAATGGTAGTATTACTGATCACTGCTTGAACAGGTGAGAATCTCTTGAGGGAGGCTTACTCTTTTAAGATTTGATTCTTGAGTTAATTGAACAAAGCAGATGATTTGTACTACAAATTTAAAGTAGCTCAGAGCTGTCTAAAGACAATGGTGACTCGTAGGCAAGTGTAGTAACAAGTAAGCAAAGTTCCTAGTTTTGTCCTACCCTCTACTCAGTTTCATATTTTGGGTACGAAGTGATCTACTTGTTAAAATACTGAAGAACTTGTTTCTTACTCTTTCTTCGAAATGCGCTAGCGATTTTTTTTTTTCTTGAACCTCTCAGCTGTATTGTATGTCTTTTGGATAGGATAAAACGTACTTTTTCTTGCTTAGCAGAAGTCAACTTGGGAGTTTATGGATATTGTGGCAGCTCATTGCAAAATGGTTATGCTATTCAGTTCTGAATAAAAGTGAAAATTAATGAACTGCTTTATTAGGGTTGGAGTAAAAGTGTGTGTGGTCTGAATTTTGACCCTGCAGAAGAGAAAGGAGTATGTTCTTTCAACGTTTGTTGTGCGGGCAGTAGGTGCAAAATAGCTCAGTAACTGCAGTCCACCTTGTCTGTCTTCAAGAATACTTTTAAAATTTTACATGCTCTTTATGTTTTACAACTTGTCTGGAGGAGTTGTTTTTTGTCTACGTGACAGTCAGAGGCTGTTTTACAGTCATCTGATTTAGAAGATACTCTCGGATATTCTTTCAGCGCTTGTTGTTTAAGACTATTCATCTAGTCTGGCATGGTATCCCTGTGTTCCTTTGGGGTGGCAGTAGTTACTCTGCCTGTAGCTCTATCCAGGACTACAGGCATCTGGATTAGACAAATCATACTATTTGTCAAAATCTACCTATTGGTAGTGTTTTGTGGAGTATTTTCTCTGTTGACCCAATTTGTTCATTAATTGATTCATAAATTTGGCGCTGCAGTTTAAGTGTGAACCAGACACCTCTGGTGTGATGCTCTGTCGTTCAGATCTATACCTACGAATTTTTATTACTTCACACTGAAGTAATTACTGCTTACTGAAACCTGTTAGAAAAACAACTATAATGTAGAATTGAATGAACTATTTTCAGTGATTCCTCCCATGCAATTCTGTAGTTTATCTGCATTATCAGTGTGACTGTGCTGGGCAGTAGTTCAATATAGAGAACTCTGTTGCTGTGATGAGTCATTAATGTGAACAGGATGATGCACATATGGGCAGTTGCGTGACTGATCTGGTTCAGTGGCTTTAAAGCATTTTGGATGCTGTGGTAACAGGCTGATGCACACCACACTATATGGGTGATTTGAGTCAAATATATTTTTTCCACTTGTACATTTTAGCTCTTCCGTTGAAGTAAACGTACTTGTTTGATAACCTGAAACCAGTGTATTTTAAATGGTATATTTAGTTATAAGATGAATTATGTCCTTGCCAGTAAGGAGAGTATACTATGTACACCTTTATTTTCAAATGTATGTAACTTAAATTAGATAGTGTGTTACAGTTGCTCTTTACTTCCACAGAAAGTTGAATGTGCTTTTGATATTGATTTAAGAGAAACTGGGCACAAATTATTCGTAAGTGTAATTAACTAGTGAAAAGAAAAAGATCAAAGAGCACTTGAAACAATATTTAAACTGTCTTTAAATACAAGCAATACATACTTAAGTGCAAATCCTTTGTATTCAGAACTAATTTCATAAAAGGAATTTATGGTTTATTCTCTTCTGATGAGTTCTGTTCACAAACTGAGACTAATAATGAGATCTAAGAGTGACATTTACTGGTTATAAGATCCAGTAAGAAATCCAGAAAAGCTTGAGGCACTCTTCCCTTTCTCACAATTGATATATCAACTTTGTTGAACTAATAAATTTAATGCGTAGGACAATAATCTTGTTTACGACTTTCTAGAAACTAATTTCAGGTATTTGAGCAATTTTTGTCATTTCAGTGATTTGATCCTTAAAATCTCAGCAAGATCTTGAGTTTTTCTTTGAGATGAATCTAATTGACCAGCCTTTGCTCTAGTTATTTTAGTTGCTCATAGATTTCCTTTGAAAAATGAACAGCCACTAAATTCTTTTGATTTAAATGTGTGTTTAATAGCTCAGTTTTAAAACAAAAAAAATCCTTATCTGCATTTCAGATGCTTTTACTTATGGAACAACTTTTTTTGGATGTCTACTTCTAGTGCGTCCAAGTCATTTGTTGTATGATGGGATGGGTGTCAGCTGCAGATCTTTAGGATATGGAAGATTCATTTTACTTGAACTGTAGAAGTCATTCCAAACTGTGAATTTAAATACTTACTCTTTCTAGCACTGAAGAGAGAGATGAGACTGCAGCCTGGAAGCCTACCAAACTAGATTGCTTCTGATTAATAGCAAGTGAATTTGCTAACTTTCAGAACTGCTACTTTGAAGGCTTGTCGTACTTTTAATATGATACTTTTATTCAGTTTCATATGAATGCGCTTGCTTAGCAGTACATGTGCTTTTTTCTATTTCCTAATGCTTCTGTTTGTAGTGCTTCCATTGGAGCATGCAGCATTATGAATGTGAAATGGCTTCTATAGATTCTGTTCTCGCACCTTTCCAGACCTTAGTCTGACTGGAACACACAAAGAATTTCTTCTCTTTGGATTACTATGGACTGTTGTCATATTTTCGAATTGTGGTCGCTTCTGTCACTTACAAAAAGGGTTTACTGTGCACTAAGAATAGAATAGTGCAACAGTGCTGTAAATGGCCGCTGAATAAGTGGTGTGTATTTGAAGAGAAACTAGTGATGCCTCAATAAAACACTGAAAGAGGAACGTTTGGCTGAAATCAGGTTGTGGAGAGACTTGTGAACTTTTTGAGTAGCTGGAGAAAGCATTTTAACTTTTAGGCAAGTAGTCGGGGATGGCTTGAGGTATTTGAAATATTATTATTGTGGGTAGTAATCTATACCTTGGGAAATGCTCCTGTACACATTTATTAGGAATTTAGCTGTGTGGGTAAATACTCCCTACTGGTATCAATACTTTTCCCAAAAATATTTAAATAAGGTTGCAGTATTAATTAAAATGATTGAAACAGTAACATAACCAGGCTAGGATTATTGTTATGGTCTTCTGAACCCCTACTCTCTCAGTTCTTGGAAGATTAGTAGCTATGGGAGATGGCTTGCTTTAGATTCTGGTACAGTGGCCCTTTCCTAAATTAAAGGGCAGTGCCAGGTTAGGACCTGAGGTTTGGCTGTACTTAACAAAGGATACTCTGTTAGAGCTGTTCGTTTCTGTGTGTCTACATGTGTATATGGAACAAGCGAGAAACCTTCCATTACATCTTTGCTTCTGTCCACTTAAAGGGCTTCTTTTCTGCCTTTCTTTAGAGACTAGTCAGTATGTCAGTTCAGAGTTCTCTTCCAATTATTTCTCTGCATTATCTTCTAGAAATGTACCACAGTTTGTTCTTTATGTAATTATTTTTAAGAGATTTGTCAATTA